CCATCAGAAAACCGCCTCGTCGAGCAGCCAGCAACGCAGCCAGCAGCAGCAGCAGCAGCAGCAGCAGCAGCGGCAGCGCTGAGCTCAGGGCACCCCCATCCCGTCATCCGGCGAAGCAACGGACAGGCATGCAGTTGGAGAGAACAGGACGAGAGAGGCCTAGGGTGAGAAGAGAGGGACCCTTTTGGTCGTTGCAACCGCCACTCTACACCTTCCCACCCCTCCTCCACCACCACCACCTTTCACCCTCGTGCCGGTCACCCTCGACGCCACGTGCCATCCCTGTCGCCACCAGCATACCCTCGACATGATCTCCGGACTCCTCTCGCGATCCAGCGTCGCGCCCGCCAGGGTGAGTGGCGAACACGCTCCGACTGTCGCCCTCGGTGGAGTCACAGTGGCGCTCCTTTCTGACATCGTCCCTGCCCACCTCACTTTGCCGCGCCACACTGCCCATTTGCCACCCTGCAGGCCTTCCAGGCTTCTACCCTCCCCCGCGTCGTCTCGGCGCTGCCCCGCGTCCAGGCTCGTGGCCTCGCCACCGGCGCTGAGCCCTACGATGTCCTCGTCATTGGCGGTGGCCCCGGCGGCTACGTTGCCGCCATCAAGGCCGCCCAGCTCGGGCTCAAGACTGCCTGCATCGAGAAGCGCGGCACCCTCGGTGGCACCTGCCTCAACGTCGGCTGCATCCCCTCCAAGGCCATGCTGAACAACTCTCACCTCTACCACCAGGCCCAGCACGACTTTAAGTCGCGCGGCATCGAGATCAAGGACATGTCGCTCAACCTCGACACCATGCTCAAGGCCAAGAGCGGCGCCGTCGGCGCCCTCACCAAGGGTATCGAGGGCCTCTTTAAGAAGAACAAGGTCGACTACATCAAGGGCACTGGCAGCTTCGCCAGCCCCACGTCGGTCAAGGTCGCCCTCAACGACGGCGGCGAGACCCAGGTCGAGGCCAAGAACATCATCATCGCCACCGGCTCCGAGGTCACCCCCTTCCCCGGCATCGAGATCGACGAGAAGCAGATTGTCAGCTCCACCGGCGCCCTCGACCTTCAGAAGGTGCCCGAGAAGATGATCGTCATCGGAGCCGGCGTCATCGGCCTCGAAATGGGTAGCGTCTGGAGCCGACTCGGTGCCAACGTTCAGGTCGTCGAGTTCCTCGAGGGAATCGGCGGCGCGGGCATCGACGGCGAGATCGCAAAGACGTTCAAGAAGGTTCTCGAGAAGCAGGGGCTCAAGTTCAAGCTCGGGACCAAGGTCGTCGACGCCGAGAAGAAGGACGGCAAGGTCTACCTCAACGTCGAGGACGTCAAGAGCGGCAAGAAGGAGCAGCTCGACGCCGACGTCGTCCTGGTCTCGATCGGGCGACGACCCGTCACCTCGGGCCTCAACCTCGAGGCCGTCGGCATCGAGAAGGACGAACGTGGCCGCATCATTGTCGACGACGCCTACAACACCACCTGCAAGGGCGTCAAGTGCATCGGCGACGCCACCTTTGGACCCATGCTGGCCCACAAGGCCGAGGAGGAGGGCATCGCGGCTGTCGAGGTCATCGCCTCGGGCCACGGCCACGTCAACTACCAGGCCATTCCCGCCGTCGTCTACACGCACCCCGAGGTCGCCTGGGTCGGCAAGACCGAGGAGGACCTCAAGAAGGAGGGCGTCGAGTACAAGGTCGGCAAATTCCCCTTCCTCGCCAACTCGCGAGCCAAGACCAACGCCGACTCTGAGGGTACCGTCAAGTTTGTCGTCGAGAAGGAGACCGACCGCGTCCTCGGCGTCCACATCGTCGGCCCCAACGCCGGCGAGATGATTGCTTCCGCCGTCCTTGCAATCGAGTATCAGGCTTCGGCAGAGGACATTGGTGAGTTGCTCCCGCGGCGAGCGAGCGGCAGTCCTCTTGCGCTCGACGTGACCAGACTGCTAACGCCACACCCTCGTTTCTCTCTTTTCTCAATCCTCGATCGCCCAGGCCGAACATGTCACGCCCACCCCACACTCTCCGAAGCGTTCAAGGAGGCTGCGATGGCTTCGTACGACAAGGCAATCCACTTCTGAAAATGCGTGCCTCCCATGATACTCCCTGTTCGCTTCTGACCTGTTTCCCCAGATGCTCAGGATCGATACATTGAATTGACTAGATTGCACACTCAAACATGACTGGACAGACGCTCGTCGGGACGAAAGTTTAGTTACCTGCCCGTGGTCCGAAATCTCGGTCTTCGCAGCTGACACCAAAAAGACGGGCGGGGCCGGCAATTTCTCTCCGCCTGAGCTGAGAGACAGGTTCATCCTCTTGTCCGTCTTGGTCTGGCGCGCACGGGTTGATGGCGAGGTGGCAGGCCAGGAGGAAACAGCATCTTCATGAAACATCACACCACAACTGCTCTTCTTCATCGGGGTTTTGAAGTCATCGCGACACCTCCACATTCATGTGTTGCAGAGCGCTGAGAGACGTTTCGGTTGCGGACCTTCTTGCCGTATTGTCCGTGCGCGGCGCTTCTAGCCATCCTCGTTAGTGGCCACCATTCAATCTTGACTTCCTCCAGCCGCTGCGACGCCCGCAAAACAAGCTATGCGGCTCTGCATGCCTTCTCATCAGCTCTGGCTCTGGCTCTGCCTCGGTCTCTTGACTTTGTTCTGCCAAGCCTTCCAGATCCCGCTCGTTGATCGCCTGGACCCTCCCGCCTCGCTGCACAGCCCAGCGCCCATCTCTGCGGAAGCTGCTGGAGGCAAGGCCCGTCTCCGACCCGAGGGTACATCATGGAGCAAGTCAAAGGGCACCAACAGCACCGCCGTCGTGTGGGACAGGTACAGCCTTGCCGTCGGCGGCGGTAGCCAGAGGATCTTTGTCTTTGCTGCGGGTAAGCTGGCCTCGGCGGTACTGGCCGCGCCGATCTGCCGGCGATGCTGCCGGGACTGACTTTCATCGCTGGTCGCTGCCGTCTGACTGTGTCCATCGCCGCTGCTGCACAGAGTTCCACCCATGGCGGCTGCCCGTCCCGAGCCTTTGGCGCGACGTCCTGCAGAGGATCAAGGCGGCGGGCTTCAATACGGTCGAGTGAGTGGCAGGTAGCACTTGTGCGATGGACGGCCCACGACGGTGCTAATCCGCCGTCTTGCCGGCGTCGTGCAGCATCTATACGCACTGGGGCCTCATACAGAGCAGCCCAGATCCAGAGACCATCAGTCTCACGGGCGTCAACGACCTCGACTCGTTCCTAACGGTCGCCAAAGAGGTCGGCCTGTTCGTCATCATACGCCCGGGCCCGTACATCAACGCAGAGACGACTGCCGGTGAGACCGGGGATCTTATCGATGCAGGTTCATACAAGAAGCTGATTTCTGCCGCCCTGCCTTCGGCCGCCCTGCCCTCGGTCCAGGTGGCATGGCGCCGTGGACGACTCGCCTTGATGCTATCCTCCGGACCAACGACAGCGCATGGCAAGATGCGTGGAAGCCCTACATCCACTCGATCGCAAGGGTCGTCCGCAGGCACCAGCTCACCTACGACGCCAGCACCGGCGGCTACGGCGGCGGCAGCGTCATCCTCGTTCAGGCCGACAATGAGTACCATTCCGGACCCACGCAACGCGCCTACATGCGCACCCTGGTGCGCTCCCTCAAAGAGTGGGGCGTGACGGTGCCCATCACCTACAATGATCCGGACCGAGAGCGCAACTTTGTCGATCTAGTCGACCTCTACGGCCTGGATTCCTATCCGCAGGTGAGAGGTCGATGCTCGCCGAATCCGTCGTCGGACACGTCGACCGCTCACGCTCCTTCGCCGCTCCTTCGCCGCGCCTTCGCCGCTCCTGATCCACGGAATCGGCCCTGCAGCGCTTTGACTGCTCCCATCCGGATCGGTGGGTCCAGCTGAGGACCGACTATCTCGACTACCACGAGTCCACCAACCCGGCTCAGCCCTTCCTGGTGCCCGAGTTCCAGGGCGGCAGCTACGACCCCTTTGGTGGCCCAGGCTACGAGGCCTGCCAAGTTATGACGGGCGCCGACTTCTCCAAGGTCGCCAACCACGCCTTGATTGCCCAGCGGGCCACGCTGCTGTCGATCTACGTGAGTGGTGGCGTGCGCGCCCTTCGACTGCCCGCACATGAGAACGGTACTGACGGTCACCTCGGTCCGTCTCAGATGGTCTATGGAGGTACAAACTGGGGCGGCTTGGCCGAGCCAGACGTCTACACCTCGTACTCATACGGCGCCGCGATCACCGAGGCGCGAAGGCTCACGGCAAAGTACGGCGAGTACAAGGCGCAGGGTCACTTCCTGAGCTCGTTTCCGGACATTGCCATGACCGAGGTCCAGGCATCCGGCGAGGGCCACTGCATCATCGACGTCCGACAAGAGTCGACCGACGGAAGCAGACACTCGATCCCGCCAGCGGAACTCTGGTCGACGGAGCTGCTCAACCCGTCCACCCAGAGCCGGTTCTACATTGTCCGCCAGCACGACAACACGAGCCAGCGGAAGCTGCGCTACAGCCTCGAGGTCGACACGATGGGCGAAAAGAGGGTGCTCGGCGTCGTGGGCCAGCCCGGAGGGCCGGGCGAGGCGGGCATCCTGATCGACGGCCGCGACAGCCGCATCATCCCCGTCGACCAGAGGATCGCGCCGGGCTTGCTGCTGCGCTTCACCACGGCCAACGTCTTCTTTGCCGGCAGGATCGGCGACACGCTAGCCGTCATCCTGTACGGTGGAGCCGAGGATACCTACCAGTGGGCTCTGGCAGCGACGCCCGAGGCGCGGATCACCTTCGAAGGTCTCAAAAGGCACGGGGATGACGGCGCGGCAGCCTGGCAGCTCACGCATGCGCTCGGCGAGGGCGGCCGGTCTATCGAGGGGACCTTCCGCATCGCGCCAGAGAGCCAACGGGGTTCGACCTTCTCGACGGTGCGGACGAAGGAAGGCCTCGACATCTTGCTGGGCATCTTCAGCACCGAGAGCGTGGCTCGGTCCTATGCCCCTTTTGTTCGCTACGCTGTCTCTCAGTCGACCTCAACCAGCGACGATCAGAACTCGATCTTCGGCCTCTCCAGCGATCGCATCCTGGTCAGCGGCGCCTACCTGGTGCGCAACGCCAGCTATTCCTCGACGAACTCGGAGCTGGATACGCTCCACCTCTTTGGCTCCATGGACGCCGACCAGGAGCCACCGATCGAAGTCTTCACTCTCCCCTCGGTTCGCCACGTTCTATGGAACGGTCAAGAGGTCGGCTGGCGCGACATCGACTCGGTGGGAGGTCACCTTTCGCTCGACGTGCCTGGACTGAGCGACGCCGCCAAGCGCTGTACGCCGCCAAACCTGGCCGAAGGCGAATGGAGGTACGCCGACTCGCTCCCCGAGGCGTCCCTGTCCACCGACTTCGACGACAGCGCATGGACGCGGGCGAACAAGACAAGATCGTCGAACCCGTACTGGAGAGACCGGAAGGTGCAGACGCAGGGCCAGGTCCTCTTTGCGAGCGAGTACGGCTACCACGGCAACACAATCGTCTGGCGCGGAACGGTGGACGGACGATCGCTGCCGTCGCGAGAGGTGGGGTTCGAGATCGAGGTCGAAGGTGGCAAGAGCTTTGCCTTCTCGGTCTACTTCAACAGTGTTTGGCTCGGCAGCGCAGAGGGCGACCGCGAGCATGCGTGAGTGGTCGCAGCGGCGGCACCGCCGCCCGTGGTGCGAGTCGACCAAGGACCAGAGGCTGACGAGTTTGTGCCTCTCTCGGCTCACCCGAGTTCCTGCAGAGCGGCCACGGGTCGCTTCGTCCTGCCGCGTCGGGCGCTCAAGAGGGACGGCGCGAACGTCATCACCGTGGTTCAGGACCACATGGGCCTCGAGATGGAGTACGGCGCGCTGCCGATCGGCTTCGACGACGATGATGAGCGAGGTGAGTCGATGCTGCAGGCGCCTGCTCGAAGACTCCCCAGCCCCCGTTTTCTGACGCCCACGCTTGCTCTTCCTTCGTGCCGCAGAGGAGCTCGAAGCCGTCAAGCTGCCACGCGGTATCCTCTCGTACTCGTTCTTCGATGCAGCGGCCGACGCCCCTCGATCTTCTGGCAATATCAGCACGCCGAAAGTCGAGTGGAAGGTGGCCGGCAACCTTGACGGCGAGGCGGGGCCGGATCGGGTCCGGACGACCTTCAACGAAGGCGGCCTGTACGCCGAGCGTCAAGGGTGGCACCTGCCCGGTTTCGACGACTCTGGTTGGACGGTGCGTTCTCCCACCGCCGGTCTGGACAAGGCGGGCTGGATCGGCTTCTTCCGCACCGAATTCTCGCTCGACGTCCCAGACGGCCACGACTTTTCCTTTGCCGTCGTCGTTCCTCCCCACGCTCCGTCGAAGGGGGGCGAGGAGGCGAGGGAAGGAGGCCGGGCCGCCAGCGAGGGCAACTATCGCTTGCAGATCTTTGTCAATGGCTGGCAGATGGGCAAGCGGATCAGCAGGCTGGGTCCGCAGACCGTCTTTCCGGTCCACAGCGGCGTCTTGGACCACCACGGCCGCAACACGCTCGGCGTCAGCCTGTGGAGCCTCGGAGAGCGGGACGAGGACCGCAAGCTCGAGGACGACATCAGGATCGTCGTCCTGCAACGCGCGACGGGCGAGTCGAGAGACGGCTACGTGCTCGAGGCGCCGACGTGGCGGGACCTGAGGGCAGGCTCGGCGTAGCGCGACGCGGTAGGGAATCCCCTGTGAGATGTAACCTTACGTTGACGAGCGGCGTGGTTGTCGGTTGCCCCGGAAGCGGCGACGACGAGAATGTACATGATACAGCCGCGATCCTGGTGCGGACATGCAGGTGCTCATTCCGCGGATGCAAAGGGGCTGCGGCCGAGCCGTCGAGGAGAGGTCCAGTCAGCGGCATGCCCGTGTCAGGCGACGATACAGACAGGACTGACGGGGGGCAACGACTCACTTTTCGATGCTCTCGAAGCCGTCGGCGGGATTGATGACGGTCAATGCGGTGCCCCGGAGGACGGCCAGGCCGAGCGCCCTCGTCTTGGATGCGGCTGTGATCTCGCCCGTCTCTGGGTCGCGCAGCGTCTCCTCGACCTCGTCCATGACTAGGTTCATGAGCTGGTCGTATCCCTTGAGGATGCCTTGCACTGCGGGGCGCACGCGGCGGAAGGAAGGCGGCGACAAAAGGCGGCGTAACGGAGCGAGGGAAGGGGTCAGCGACATCGGTCTGAACGCAGCCCACGAGCGCCAGACTGGGCGAGACGACGCGGGCGAGGGCGAGGGCGAGGGCGAGGGCGAGGGCGAGGGCGAGGGACCTACCTTCACGACCGCCGGTGAACTTGACCCGGATCCGCTTGTCGACGTACTTGGAGAGATCGAGGATGGCCTCCTTCTTGGGCCTCTCTGAGCCGGCACCACCCCGTCCACCTCGACCGCCCCGGGAGGCGTTGC